CATGGTGTCTGCTTCGCGTCCATAGCTCGGACGGTCAGGATTCAACGTGAAGTTATATCAAAAACGTTCTCACGGTGCGGGCAGTACTTAGGAGAACCGCCTTTTGTACTCATTGGCTGTGCCAGTTCTTAAGGCCAAGATGTGGGGATGGAAGAAAAGGATGGAGGAAGAAGAATATCAAAAAAGATTCTTTAAATTGTGTTTGAGGTTGGAATGGAGAACGCTGGGATGTTTTGAGTAGAGGTAAATACAGGGAAAATGAGAGAGAACAAGCGATAAGATATGAAGAGTTACTAGATGAGAAAGAGGAGGGGGATAGCAGGATGATGTAGGGAAAGGTCCAAATATACGAGGCTAGAAAGTGGTCAGTTTAGAGGCACAAGAGGCAAAAGAGAGGCGATATTTCTTTAGAGAAAGAGGGAATGTGACCTTAGAGGGTGGGTATCCTTAGGGGGAGAGGCTGGGTAGAGAAGAAAATTTTAAGACGATTAGGGAGTTACAATGGGAAGAGGTGCTTCAGAATATCCGTAACGATATAACGGGATATAAAAAGAAGTAAGAGTCTGTAATAGTCCGAAATACCTAAAGATGAATAAGAAAGGGAAGTCGTAGGATAAGGAAAGCGAGATTTAGGTGAAGTAATGAGGTTAGGCACATGAAAAACTGGACGGACTAGGAGGAATGGAAATGTAGGATATGTGAGGAAAGGAATAGAAATGTACTGGGAAAGTGTAGTAAGAAGTTGGAGGTCAGGGTAGAAGAGAAATATATTTTAAAGAGAATGAAGTAAGTCTTACAGGATAATGGAAGAGCGATGAAGAAATGTAGAGAAGAAGAAAGAGGGAGGAGAAAATAACTTAATGGAAAATGTACAGAAGGTGAAAACATTAGGGATTTAAATGTGTGAAGTATGCAATGAATGTAAAATTGTAGGTTGAGAAATTGAAAGATCGAATCTCAACAGTATTTCCGTGAAAATATCGTTGGAAATAAACTGGTATTTGGATTTGTTAAGGTACAATACGTTCCTTGTAAGCACTTAATCCTTTATGTGGTTCAATGAACGTTAGAATATAAGTCATCCAAATTCTAGCTAGTTTCCAAAACCTCAAAGAGGTGTGCTTATTAAATAATACATGTAGTAATTTCCCATTCAGAACTTCACAAGATCGCAATATTTGTCGTACACTTTTCATTTGGGGATAATTTCTGTTCTTGCCGTCTTGGCATTTCCGCTCCCGCAACATGTGTCACTGCGATCAGCTTCGATTTTAGCCTGTTTGTCGTTCGGAGCAGGTGTGCTTGTGCGGCCCTCCTGGCTCCTGCAGATTCAATAGTGCGCCCGCAGCATCTGGGTCACTGGCCGATTAGCAATTTTACGCGTCGCCGTGTACGGGGAGCCATTATTACCTTCAGCGGCCGTTGTTCTGTTACTGCTGGCACTGCATGTTAATTACGGTACGAAACGCATTACTGGTCTTCATGTAACGCACGCTCATATTGCTCGAGTACCAAACACTGCAGCCCTTCCCTTGACGTAATAAAACATGCACTCTCATCAGCTTTGCAAACGAGTGAGCGTTAGCATTTAAAACAGGTGTAATAGTGGGTAAGATATAATCAGTGCAGTTAATTTAGTTGGTAGTTTATATTTTAGAAATGATCGTAAATTGAATTACATGGGTTTCATGAAGTTCAAGTAGTATTAGTGGAACTTGAGTGACCATTCTATTTTTTGTTCAATTTTTTTGGTTCATTTATTGTGCAAATAATATGTTGTAACTGAAAATTTTAAGTTTTATATAAGAATCACTTACGAAAACAACGCGGTATCAACACAAAAATATTAATAATTGGAAATCTTTGGAACGAGTAGTTTTTATTCTAGTAGAGTGAGTGGATTTTGTAGATTTAAACGGTTTGTTCAAATTGAGTGATGTCTAATTTCTTCATGCTTCTTTTTATGCAGATAAAAATGTAACTGTCAGAAAATGGGTGATTCACTGTAAACACTCTTTTAATGTTGGTTCCATTATGAAACCAAAATGGATTCAAATTAGAAGTCAAAATTAACATTTGTATCGAGGGACGGAATTTAATGAATCATTATTCAGTGAAACTAGAATTTCCGTTCTTTTTTTAATTAGTATATAGTACTTAAATAAAAACTAAAATTAAAAAAACTCATGAAAATTATTTTATATAAATAGTTACATTCGTGCGAACATTTTATCCTTTGTAAACCCTTATTTTAAAAATAAAAATTGCTTTAAACTAGAAGCAAACTTCGAATGGTTAGGCTGTGAAACGTGCATTCCATGTGAATTGATTATAATTTTAGTAGAGCGAAGTGATTATTAACCAATATAAATAGTTTATTTAAATATCTACAATGAAGTTGCATAGGATATCAATTGCTATACAATTTATCAAGTATTTATTTTAATTTTAATAGATTTTGAGATCATGCACTTTTGCGATCACCCTTACTACGGAGTGCAGATATCCAGAAGTGAAAAATCTCAAAAATGTGTTAATGTCCAAAGAGGACTATTGGTATAATTTCAATCGAAGAGACGTAATTGGGCCCGTTTTAAGAGTTTTAAGAGCCTAAATCGTTTTCGAGTTGAGCACGAAGATAACGTGTGTTCCAACATAAAGTGTGCTGCAAGTTGCAAATGCAGTTGGCGTTCACACTGCCAATTACATATGCAGTTGCAGATTCCTGCATAATAACATCGCTCATTCTTCGTTTTAAATGTTCTTTTTCTCGGTCATCGTACTTTTATTGTTTTCGCCGAACATGGTTTCCGGGAACTCTCAGTGGACATTCCTTGGGCAATGCGTAACACGAATTATATATCCATGTCGTTCAAGAGAAATAAGAAAGGACAGCGTCTCCTGTTGCGAACCGGCCAGAACTTCAGAACCAAGAGGAGACCAGTGTTTCAGTGAGTGTTCCTAATGAGCAAAACGGGTGTCCACTGCTGAATACGCTCTTATATTATAAGATGTTATACGGCAGTAGTGCATCAGTGTTCTTGCGAGGTGTGCATTTATTTCAGCACAAAGATGTGATATTCTCATGCCTCTTACGTGTCACAATCATCTAAAGTGCTTCTTTTATGTTTGAGGTTCTTGTACACCCAAATCCCAGAGGCGCATAATTTGCCCAATTATATTTTGGATACCTGTAGGTGATGAAGATAAAAGCTGGGCACTGCATGTTATTTGCAAACCGGATGTATCAGGGTTACGAGATTAGGAACAAAAAGAAACATATGCCCTTTTCCATTCCCATGATTTGTCGTGAGCTAATCAACCACATTGATGGTACTTTTCCCATGTGCGTATTATGGAGTTCTCAGCAAACTATAAACATTACATAACGTATCCGAATCTGCAGCCTGCAATAAGAGCTCCATGAGATTTGAATGTACTTCAAGAAATGGAAAATACGTCGAGTAGTAACCTTGAACTATGAAGTTTTTTAGGCCAATATGTTACTGAGATTTCTAATATAGAAACACAGAAATTTACAGAATCCGAATTAAATGATCTCATTAGAGATAACAAAGATAAAGCAGTACTGTTAGCGTCGAGCCTGAAAGCAAAACATGTTAGAGAATAATGTTTGTGTCTCCTATTATCGATGGGGAAGCAAAGATATAGAGCAATGTTTTTTTCCTTAAATAGTCCAACGCAATTTTGTAACGATGTAGGTCATCTCTATGGAATTGAAGCAACAGCAGAGACTTTTGGAATAGCACCTATTTATCGACGAATCGCAGCACAGTTTGAAGGCAGTCTTATTGCACATTGGAAATGTAAAGCCTTCTAAACTCATTGTTCAATCACTTTATTGAAAGAAATGTATGAAAATGAAAAGGTGTACAAAAAGAAATTCGGTTCAATCGTTGTCAGTAGAACAACTGTGAAGACTTGAAAGTGATCAGTATGTTAATGGGTTTACCTAGTTGCGTTGCTTCCTTTGCCTGTGGGATAGTCGAGATACGGTAATTCAACTCAGGAGAAGAAAATGATCAGAATTGGTTGCATTGGATGCTAATAATATATTCCTATTGCCACTGTTGCATGTTAAGTCTGGTTTGGTTAAAACCTTTGCAAAAACGCTTGGCAAAAAGAATGGTAAGTGAAAAGTTTTACAAAATATCTCCTGCCATACTAAAAGAAGGTGTCTTTGTAGGCTATTGAAGGACATATCAGGGAGGGAGATATTTAAGAACCCATTACTTGAAGAACGAATGAGATATCGTAAATAAGGATGGAAATGTTTTCAGTGGGTTTCGCACAATTTTTATGGTAATAAATAGTATTCTGATTACAAAGAAGGCGTGCAGTAATTACTAGATGCATATCAAGTTATGGGATGCCGCATGTCACTGAATTCATTACTTGCAAGAAAAAATCAACAGCTGCCCCTTTTTAGTTCGAACATCTTTATTTATTCAAATTGTGATCTATTTTTACTATTCAATCTATTCTGTTTTTATATATCAGAAATATTGTCTATATCTAAGCGTCAAATTTGCATTTGTAGCTCTACAAATGGAATATAAGAGTATTTCCGAAAATGCATTTTATTTAAACAATGACATGTAATAGGCTAAAACCCAAAGCAGATTCGTATTTAGATAAAAAAAAGTATATACAAACACCTGCCGTCATCTCGGGCGATTAAATTTAGTTTCAAATTGTCGACCTGTGTTATGGATGGAAGGTATTACGAATATTTGACATCCGCAAATGTTTCATAACAACACAGCGCTTCCTGTTGATTATGCGGTAAAACAACGGAAGGTGTGGTTTTGTGAATTGTTGGATAATTAACCAAACTCTGGCATAATACTTTACGTGTCAATATGTTCTGTCACTGTGGCTGGAACATGCTTAAGTAAATTGTCAAGTAACTGAGCAGATGAGTTGAATGAGCAACAACGTGCGTGTTCTCAACGAGCAGAATCGTCCCGAATAAGAAGATGGCTGGTGACGGTGAGATCGACTTGTACATAGCGCAGTTGTTCAACTGTGAAGCCATCGGAGAAATTCAAGTGAAACACCTTTGCACCAAAGCGAAAGAGATTTTGTTAATGGAGCAGAATGTGAAACGAGTGCACTCTCCTGTAACAGTGTGTGGAGATATTCATGGGCAGTTTTACGACTTAAAAGAGTTATTCGAAGTTGGTGGTTACATTCCAATAATGAATTACTTGTTTTTAGGTGATTTTGTGGACCGAGGCTTCTACAGTGTGGAGTGTTTTCTTCTGCTGCTTGCGTTGAAAGTGAGATATCCCGACAGAATTACTTTGATTCGGGGAAACCATGAATCACGTCAAATAACGCAAGTATATGGATTTTATGACGAGTGTTTGAGAAAATACGGGGGAATAGCCGTCTGGAAATACTGTACTGATGTTTTCGACTATCTCAGCTTGTCTGCAATCATTGATGGCAGGGTTTTATGCGTCCACGGTGGTCTGTCTCCCGCCGTCGAGACACTGGACCAAATCAATGGCATAATGAAGGTGCAAGACATCCCCACGGAAGGCGCCATGTGCGACTTGCTGTGGTCGGACCCGGACGACATCCTCGGATGGGGAATTAGTCCCCGAGGCGCGGGCTACCTCTTTGGGTCTGACGTCACGCATCGCTTCAACATCACCAATGGAATCGACATGATTTGCAGGTCGCATCAGTTGGTGATGGAAGGCTACAAGTGGCACTTTAACAACTCTGTGGTGACTGTCTGGTCCGCGCCTAATTATTGTTATCGCTGTGGTAACGTAGCGTCAATTCTGGAACTTGATGAGCACATGAATAAAAATTTCACAATCTTTGATGCCGCTCCCATTCAAAGTAGAGAAGTAACAGAGCTTAAAAATCTTCCTGATTATTTCCTTTGATTAAATGAACATAAAATATTGCAAGTAATTGATTCTACTTTTGACAAGCAAGCTCTGTTTAAGAATAGTGAATTCGTATCTTTAATATTTCCTTATTCCCTGTAGATGCAATGTGTGAATTTATCATTAAATAAAGGAAAATGAAAAAAATACTAATGAATGTTCCCAGTGGAAGCGATTAGTCGCAAGTCAAGCTTGCACACATATTGCTTCAAAATGTTCCTACACAAGCAATTCGTGCACGCCCGAGGAACAAAAAATTATGCCATTCAGAAGAGTATATTTAATGAAGTAGCAATGATGTAAGAACAAAACTGCCTGACGGTTCAATGTATTGTGAGATAAATATCATAAACTGTTTTCCAAAGTACCCTTGTACCATGAATTCGTATTCTCGGTGAATGTGACTTCCATGACTATACAAAAGTAGTGCTACTCTTTTCGAAATCAAACCATAAATTTTTCTCGTTTTTGCAGACTTCGCTCGTTGTTTTTAATAACGTCGTGCAGTTTGTTAAAAATTCATATTAATAACAAGAAAAAGGACAATAGATTTTGAAACGAAGTAAAGAAGAGGTGCCATTTAAACAATTGAAAACAAAATGTATACTTACCACCCGAAACGATAAACATTTTTTTCTTTCGTAAGAGCACTTAAGTCGCTAACTGCAACTGAGAGACATGACACTCGCGAGAAACTTGATGCCTGACTAAAGCCTGAAAAATGTGTTTTTTACGTTTTCAGTAAGGAATTGTCAGACATTACTAATATTTTTTAGTTAATTGAATAGAGTTGTTAACAAAATCTCATCGACTTCCATTATGAAGTAATTCAATATATATTTAGAAAACTAATACCATCAATTCGTGCATTATCGATAATTGTCGAACTAGCCTATATACGAGGGTTGGGGGGTACGTTATGATAAGATTTTTTTTGAGAATACGAGTAGGGGTGGAAACTGTGAAATATGCACATGAAAGAACAAGATTTTAACTAAATTCATGGATATACGACACACCAAAATCGAGGGGTTGGCTAGAAGAAGGGCGTAATGCGAATTATGGCGTTTATCTGTAGAACGTTTCAAAACTTTCTTTACGTGACTTTCTACCACCCCTCGAGATGGTAGTGCGCTAACCCCTGTATATGACGTTTGAGAGGATTTTGAAATTATGAATTGCGCCGTAACATCTATGAACTTGCACCATTTCGTTTTCAGGTGTTTAGAATATTGCTAGGATTGCTGTGAATACAGTTATAAATTTGTCGGATAAATATGATTTTTCATAGAATGATTGTGAGTTTAAGCCTCCAGATGATAGTAACACATCTTCAGATGTTATTTACGTAGTGGTGATGAAGAAAATGAAGTACAAAAGAGCAAAACTTTCCAAAAATATAAAAATAAGAATTAATGAATCTTAATTAACGTGGACAAAAATGCAAATGATTCTGTATTTCTGAAATTAAGAAATACTTGAAGATTTTCATAAAAATAAACTATTTGTATCCAAAATAGCTTGTTCTTTGGCAAAGGGGCATAATTCAACATTTTCAAATTAATGTAAATCCACATATTTGAGCATTTTAGTGTATTTTGTGTGCTTAATCAGTTACTAGTAGGATTTTTCTTGCGATATGTACGTATTTTTTATTTTATATAATACAGCATGTAGACAGTTTTTCTTCATTATCGAAAACAGTTTTTCTGAATTACGCCGTTCTTCCATCTGGCCCCTCAATTGAGATTCTCATATTTTTTAAGGTGGTATTTGAAATGACAGAACTGATTTCATGTTCCAAAGCATTATAGCATATACGAGTTCACAACATTGCAGAAGCATTAATTATCCGTTCTTAAAAACCGTTTAGTCAGATCCTCCACTACCGCACGTGCCATATCAGTCTGCACACTCTCACTGGCCATCACGTGCTTTGCTGATCACTGGCTGCTGCGCGTCCTCGCGAAAACTCCCCTGCCCAATGCGGAAAGGAACTACTCCCAAGAGCGTCCAGCAAATCCCTGTGACATTCTCGGGCACTTGATGCTCTGATCGAAACAGGTTGCATTAATCTCTCACTGCGACAGACTGATTTCACATTGCTCTCTATGATAATAGAGACCCTCACAGAGCCATCTGTGGTTGTATACACTCATTAAATACATTTCTTTCATGCAACAAACAGAATTGAATTGATGCCTTATTTTATGTGGCGAGACTCGGGCCATCAGGCCCGCTCTTCCGTCTGACCACGCAAATTTAGCTACGCTCATTTCACCACCTAGCGAAGAAAGGAGGAATTTCTTGGACGACGAAACACGGATGGCGATTTGAGTTAAGCTCAGAGGCGTCATTTAGGCTTGAGGTTCTTTCCCATTAAAGTATATTTACTAACATGAGACAGCCGGCTTTACTTCCCCTCCGAAGGAAGGCGTACGAAGGATTGTTTTGCCCTTAAAATCCACGGCTTCGATCGGGTTTGAATCCGCCAACTTGGGTATAACAGTCTGATAAGCTACCCGTTAAGCCATCGCCAAAATTGTGTGATTCTATGACATTTCTTTTACCATGATCCCATGAGTTCTGCCCCAATTTTCACATTTTTATAGGTAAACAATATCATTGTTGGAACATGAACGTATTCAGGGAAAATTAGTGATTGACAGTGCAGTTAAACATAAACAAACCCAAGGTTTTAATTCCACTCCCTCCCCGCTGACCGTTCATAATTGCGCCCCAGAGGACTCGAATCGAAGCAGATCCTGCTGCCTCCGGTTGCGGGCGCAAATGCAGCCGCGACTGTGACGCGCGGAAGAGTGGCGCCTCGTTTGCGAATTTGCGGAAATCTGCCTCCGGGGGCCGAGCGGGCCGTGGCGAGCGGGAGGGGGGCGGGGCGCCGCGCCGTTAAGCACCGCCTATTTACGGTCTGCGCCGGCGCAGCTGGGGCGCCGCTCGTAAAGCGGGGCTATCGGGGCGCGCGCCTCACCTCCCTCCTTGCGCCTCTCCCGGCCGCTCCAGCAGTGGCCCATGTTTTCGCAGTTCGCTCGGCGCGCGACTATTCTCGTCCTTTTCACTCGTACTCTCGCTTTTGATTGATTAGCTATTCTGAACGCCTCAACTACTAAGGTTGCTGAGGCTGCAAAATATTCGTTAGATACGTTGGGAGAGCAATTAGCAGCAACTGCGAGGAACTGGATAATTTTTCATCAGCCAATTGACAAAGATGGTTACCTTGGAGAAAGAATGAATGAGAATTGAAGAGATTGTCATGGTTACCTCTGTCCAGACGTAATCAAACGTTTCGTTACGAATTTCGTCGATTTTCGTCATGTTAGACCGCAGAAAGGTTGCCTAGCATATCCCAAATCGAACCTTGAATTCGTCCAACACGTTTTTACTGAGCTTTATGTCACCTCAGATGACAATGCGAGATTGTGGCGTCTAAATGGAAATAGATGGATTTTAAGAACTTTGAAAATGTCCAATCAGTCTACATATTTTCACACGAGGAGCTTTCCAGAAGCTAATGCGATCTTTCGGAGACGCTCCGAACTAACAGAAAGCAGTTGACAATCTACGTCAAGGAAATTTGAACGAAATAAGTAAGTATTTGGTCAACTGGGAAGAAATTTGCGCGACTCTTTTGATTAAGTTAGTCTCCGAAGCGGGAAGTTTGAAATGTATCATCTTTTCCTTTGAAATGCGTTCAAGGTGCAGCAAAACTGCATTATTCAAAACGTTGCGCCAAATTTGAAACAATTTAGCGATCATGTGTCAACAAAGGTATTTAATCCCCGAAAAAGTGTTGTTTTAATCGTGGGGGATCGCGGTGTTATTTCCCCCTGGATGGCGAAATCTGCGCCCACCCACGGGGCTTGCGAGGTTTCCCGAACTAGGGTCTCTCACCAGCGGGGCCCCGCCCCAGAAAAGAAATCCCTCAGAAATTCCGATCGATGATAGTGAAGTGTATGAATGTGTAAGTGTATGCTAGCAATGGTTGAAGACTGGACAAGAAAGAGGAAGGAAAGATCGCTCGCGGTCTGTACATCGTTTGTTAGGATTCTGATTTTGCATTCTCCTGGTGATGATGGGAGAAATCTTCAGAAAACTACCGGTCTGAAAAGCCGGGCGTTAGAATTCTCCTCCAGACACCGGCTGAAATCGATCTAACTATCAGGTAGTATCGAAAATCCTGCCACCGTCGGGGCTCAAACTCTCCGTCATGCCACTTAAAGGCACTGCAGTTTCATCAACTGATACCCTAAACCACCTAAGTCGGCCGTAGACTCGCATTTGTGATGTTCGTTCATTTCGGGTCTCCTCTTTTTCTCTCGTTTTCAGTCTTTGTCTCTGATCCCTTGATCCCTCTGATGATTCAGTCCCTTCTCAACGCCCGTTTCCTTCAGTTCTATTCTCCCATCTGTCAGTGACTTGACTGTATGAATCAACATCCCATTGTTCTCGATGACTGCATCATTACCCTTTCTCTAGATTTTTTGTTTGTAAAGTTCAGACTAATTCTTGTAATTTTTTGTTTGCGAAGTCGTCTTTTACTTGTAATTTTTGTAAATTTCATATTGCCTCATTACTTCATATCTTCACTGGTTTCTGGTATTTTTTCACTCTGCTCCCTCATCCCCAGTATTATTTTCTATTTAAAATGGAGCGATAATTTTCTGCCATTTTTCTTTCCTTCGATTCATACCTCCCTTTATTCCTCATACCTTGTTCTTCCTTTACTCAGTAGGCACCTCCAGCTGCATTAATATCTTTGCTTCTTTTTACAATATTCTCCTGTCCTCAAACCAGTGACAAGAGAAAGTTATTATGGTTCTACTTGTTGCCGATTTAACCAGATCTGAAAACTTTGAGTTGATGTATCACACCCATATTTTAAGAACTATTAAAGTCACAATCACAGACTGACAAGGGTCACACAAAATATTCCCTCAAAGAATCTGCGAGTGTGAGCCAATATTATCAGTAATCACGGAATATGATGAATCTAAACAATCAGACTCGTGGACAGCAAAACGTCTAGGAGCTACTCGTAGCCATGCATTTTCTTAAGATGTGGGCAAGATGATTGATTTACTTCTCGTGTCACTCAATGTCCGAACCGAAATGCTAAATCCAGCCCATTGTGTCAATGCTTCTCTATAGCTTGGAATGGATCTGAAGAGTGAAAGTGGTATTTCACGTTGTTGGAAGCAAGGAGAGATGAAGCGATACCCGGTGGCCGAAGGCAAGCGATGTAGGCGTGGGCTGCGAGTCGGACGAGAAGTCAAAGGAGGAGGAGATGGGAGAATAGGAGCGGTGCCAGCGGAGGTGGGTGTTTGATGTTGAATATGTTGGTTTGGAAACAGGAGAAGAAAGGAAGAAATGTAAAAGTGAAAACGAAGTGTTCGTGTATATGTGAAGGTGAGGAGGAAAAGTAGAATCGAAAAGTGAAGGACGGGTGAAAGACGATGACCTAAAATGGCGAAGAAACAAGATGTGAGACAAAAGCGAAAAATAGTGATATTATCTCTACCTTGAACATGTTTTTTACTTTCTTCTCTTATAATTCCCTCTCTCGCCAGCTACCTTTCATCGACATCTTTTCCGGAAATTTCGGTTCCACTTTTTCTTACCCTTCTCTTCCTTTCGTAATAATCTTTACTTCCCTCGCGTCTTATGGCTTGACGGGAGGGGACCTGGAACTCCGAAAATGAATAATGAAATGGAATCAAGGAGATGTGATGGCAGCCAAAGGTGGGCAAGCGACTGGCGGGGGAGTCAAAACGGAGGTAAAGAGGAGTCGAGGTTCTGAACTACATTGAGCGGCTAGGAGGAGGAGACATGAAGGCAGAGGTGGAGGTGAAGCCGATAGCGGAGATGAGAAGGCGGGGGCAGAGGTGAAGGTTGAGTTGGCGGAGGTAAAGTCGGATCGCGGCGACGCCGGGGTAGGACGGGGCGAGGGTGGGGTGGGGGTGGGTGACGGCATGGGTGAGAGTCCTTCGCGCCGCGACGGTCGCGGCTCGGCCGAGGTCGCGTGCTCCACTTGTGACAGCGACGCCGCAGCCAATGAAATTTTGCACGGAACTCGTGCACGCGCTCCTGAGAAGCGCCCGCCCGCCCGACCCTTCTCGCCCCTCGCCGCTCACCTCTGCTCCTCTGAGCGACGCCCAACACTTGGCTTCTGTTGCCTTGGCGCGCCCCGCGCTGTCGCCCGACCGCCAACGCCTGGCAATCTGGTACCTGATGCCTGACACCTGACGCTTGGCGCTGGCTGCCTGTTGCCTGACGCTGGACGCCCGTCGACTCTTAAGGATTGACACCTGACGTCTGACATCTGGCGTCTGACAACTGACTGACTGACGACTGACGACTTGACGACTGACGACTCGACGACTGACGACTGGACGACTGACGACTGACGACTGACGACTGACGACTGACGACTGACGACGGACGACTGACGACTGACGACTGACGACTGACGACTGACGACTGACGACTGACGACTGACGACTGACGACTGACGACTGACGACTGACGACTGACGACGACTGACTGACGACTAGACGACTGACGACTGACGACGACGACGACGACTGACGACTGACGACTGACGACTGACGACTGACGACTGACGACTGACACGACTGACGACTGACGAACTGACGAACTGACGACTGACGACTGACGACTGACGACTGACGACTGACGACTGACGAACTGACGACTGACGACTGACGACTGACGACTGACGACTGACGACTGACGACTGACTGGACGACTGACGACTGACAGACTGACGACCTGACGACTGAACGACTGACGACTGACGACTGACGAACCTGACGACTGACCGACTGACGACTGACGACTGACGACTGACGACTGACGACTGGACGACTGACGACTTGACGACTGACGATGACGACTGACGACTGACGACTGACGACTGACGACTGACGACTGACGACTGACGGACTGGACGACTGACGACTGACGACTGACGACTGACGACTGACGACTGACGACTGACGACTGACGACTGACGACTGACGACTGACGACTGACGACTGACGACTGACGACATGTTCCTCATAATGTAATCAAAAAATAGTTCCTTCGCATTTAGGAGTTCAGGAGCAAATGTGGATTTCCGTAGAAAGTGTTAATTATAATTTTTCAATTTCATTGTAGTGAAGAATCTCCGGTCCATATCTAATCACCAGAACTCTCCTGTCCGTAAATGACCCGTCAATTGTGAAGAGCGAGTGCACTACAACTCTTACAGTCCGTTTGCGACCTTAGATTCCCATGACCTACAATCGGGCGCAATCTAAGGGCTTCGTGATATACAGATTTGAAGTAGTTTTCACCCCAATTCCGTTAATTTATGTATTTTTAATTTTCTTTGTTTGTATTCCAAACCAATAGACTTTTCTTAGAAAATACTTAGAAATATCCTTGTATATTTGATTTACTATAATTGAAATTCAATCTTGTACAAGAAATGATCAGAAAACTGCTGTGCAAAAAATACCGAAAATAGCATTTGAAAATTTCATTTGAAATGAAACGTCTTGAATACGTTCAGATATAAGAGTTTATGTTTTAGATGACTTTCGTTTTCAATTTTTTTTCCATAAAAGTATGTGGACATATCCTTCAACTTGCTGTTAACTAATGTGAATCCTAAAGATCATAGAAATAATTTCTTTATTTTACAGTTTATAATTTTCTTTGTAATAACTGAGAATGGAACAAAGAAACTCTGGCTGTACTTGTTGTCTAGATCGTACTTCGATATAACAATCAAGACCATCGTAGAGGGAACGTGAAACACAAGAGTTTAATAAACGTTTTGGAAGCATGTCCAGTTTTGATTATTTCAAACAAACCATTTTGGCTTTGTGCACTGCTTTCTCTGATAGATATCCATTTTGGCTTTTGGTTTATGAAAACAATTTACGGAATAAACGTTGTCTCTATCATTTCTCTGTTAAGTAACATGTTCTCTCCTGTACAGTAATAAAATCACCTTGATACGCATTTAATCTCTGCTGCATAAATATCACATTCCATGGACTGCGATACACGTCCTCATTCGTAACTGCATATGCTAATGTACGCACGAACACGTATATGCTTTGCACGTGCGCTAACTTAATCTCTTCCAAACTTTCATCGATGTTTTCGAGTTAGATTTCCTCGGAAATATGTGGAGAACTCCACAAATTTCCGAGAATCAGTGTTAATAACACATAAAAGGTTAAAAGCTCTCATTTTCACCAATTTGATTTCGAGCTTTCCAATTTGAAGCAATATCCAACAACTAACAATTCTCTTCTATACTACAGCATGGTTATGTTCATGATATGTTACATTTTTCTTAAATAAAATATAACGTATAGACTTAACATGGATGAACGCGAAAGAGGACTACCAAAAATGGAATCCTGTCGTCAGAAAGGATACAAATATCGCAGATGACAGGTACGAGAGTTACACCTCTGAAGCTGCAAATGAAGGAGTCGGGCATGAAAAGACTGCTATGAAAAAGTACCTAAAGGGGAGGTATTCAAAAGTGTACTTGAAGTTGGTGTAAACATATAGAAGTTTTAGTAAACAGAATAGATGGAAAAAGATGTGAACAGGAACAATCCGATTGGATGGAAACGGAATGTCGGAAACGTAAGGGATGACGATATCTGTGCTTCATAGGGTGCATTCGACAGGAAGGGGCAAAAATTCATCTGGTAATTATGATGATGTCAGTAAGCCTTGCATTCGGAATTGATCAGTAGGTTTGGGAGAGCAGTATGATTATGAGTGGATTAATACATAAGCAGGGTAGGCACTTGCTTATATCACTTTCTCAATAGGCGCAACTATCTTTTTCAAACTAAATTGTATATCTATTAGCTTATACATATATACAATAATAGTTTTCTGGCAAAAATTTGCCGTTTTCTGTCGCACGATTACTTAACTTCCTCTCCTTACAAAATATTCGTAAGGCGAGAAAGTAAAAATTTCAACTAGTATTAATGAGTCTGTTTTTAAAAAGGTCAGAATATGTTTAGTACCAAGAAGTAGATAACAGCTCACAACATATTCCGTAAGGGATAAAACCGAATAAAATTTAATGCATATTATAAAACTATAATGCATTTGCAAAATGATTATATGTTATTGGAGGCTTCTAGGATGGTTCATAGACAGCGTGCTAGCTTCCCAGAGGGTGATGTCGGGTTCGATTCCCGGGCTAGGCAAAAATCAAGAGTAGCTTTCCTTTAAAATCGTTTGAGGTTCTGTAGCTGGGTGACGAAGATAAACTCAGAGGGGCAGCGTATGCTAGTTGCGTGTTCGCCGCATGTGCCTCTTAGCGCGTAATCGTGGGAATTAAACTAGGGGCCACTCGTAGTTTGGTGGCAGTCATTCAGTCGACCTAAATGCGGATGCATATATAGAATATTGCAATTGATTGCAACTAATTGAACAGTGAACCGAATAAAATTTAGGAAGGTAAAGTAACTGATACCTTTAAAATATTGTCTTTGAATCGCTAGTGATGCCGACGTACGTGGAAGGGGTTCTTAAGATCAATCAATAAATTTTGTATTTATAAAATCTATCGTAATTCATATGTAAACATTTCTAAAGAGAATAACTGGCTGATGCCAAAAATGATTTATACTGTAATATTTTTTTCATGCAGCCACTAGTAACAAAATAAAATACTTCCGTCTGACCACATCAGCTACTTCTGATCTAATGTATCATTGGTATTCTTAGATTAAAATAAGAAAAACAGTAATGCTGTCTAGAAAGAAGTGAACAACACTCGGTAAAAGTAATTTTAATTGGAGTGAAGTATTACACTGTTCAACCTACCGGCAACATTTCCTCTCGCAATATAAAATGTCACCCTTATCACTCGTACCCTATATAAGTATTTTCCAGCTTTAAAGGTAAAACTTTACGAGTTATGATTTGCAATGAGCCCAACAGTTCGGCTACGCTTAGGGCCTTTTAAGATATTAATCCGACGTTGAGTAGGACGGCAGCGCCTTGAAGAGCAATGGTTGGCGCGTGGCGGGGTGAGCCAGCTGTCGATTGAGGGGGCGGGGTCGGGCGCGAAGGGTGAGTGGAGAGGAGAGGAGAGGAGAGGCGGGGCGGGGTGACAGGGCGATGGAATGGCCGGAGTGGCGAAAGCGACTAGAGCGCATGCGGCGGCAAGGGGCAGCAACGATACTTTGATGCTTTTGTTTCTCTCGGTAGCGCAATTGCTCTTAGGTATATTGATTTCGGTTATGATACATACGAGTATAAACAATTTACAA